CAGGAGGCCGAGGCAAGATCATCGCTTGAACCTGGGAGTCAAAGGTTACAGTGAGCCGAGGCTGCGCACTGTACTCCAGCCTGGGCGACAAAGTGGGACTCCATTGAAAAAAACAAAAAACAAAAAACTGGCATTCAAGGTGTATCGAGGCCAAGGGGCTGTGCTGGGTCCCCACAATGCTCCCTTAGACCTCAGGTCTCGCCCAGAGTTTAGAACAAAACCTATGAGAGATGGGCCTTAAAAATGCAATGCCTGTAGGCCAGGGCACGGTGGCTCACACATGTAATCCCAGCACTTTTGGAGGCCAAGGTAGGCAGATTACGAGGTCAGGAAATCGAGACCATCCTGATTAACACAGTGAAACCCCATCGCTACTAAAAACTCAAAAAATTAGCTGGGCGTGGTGGTGGGTGCCTGTAATCCCAGCTACTCGGGAGCCTGAGGCAGGAGAATCTCTTGAACCCAGGAGTCGGAGGCGGCAGTGAGCAGAGATCGTGCCACTGCACTCCTGCCTGAGTGACAGAGCAAGAATCCGTCTCAAAAAAACAAAAAAACAATGCAGTGCCTGTTTGTTGGGCCCTAGAGCCCTAGAAGCCCAAGTTCAACTCTGGCATTTCACATTACAGTCCTTTCTAAGCTTGTGTTTCCACATGGGAATGAGATGACTTATTTGTGAAGGGGCTGGCACACAGAAGGGATGCAATAAATAGAACATGTTATTATCCATGGCGCCTTCTCATCTCTCCCACTCACCTGGCCCCTCCCCAGGGAAGTCTCCCTTTCTCCTCCTGGTGCCCTCCCTTAGCAAAGCGATGGCAGCTTTCCTAAGGCTGTCACGAAGTGGCTGGTTTATGTCTCTGACTTTCACCAGACCGGAATCTTCTGGAAGACAGGAATTGTGACTTATCGCCCTTCCTATCTCCACAGCCGAACAGTCTGGCACGTGGTAGCTGCTTAATCAATGGTAATATGTTAACTAGGCTGAGGTTCCCAAGAAGTTGATTTATTTTCCATGCTCGTTCATTTTCTCTTCCCTCGAAAGGGGAAGCAGTAAATGATAATAAATTGCCCTAATATCCATGCTGCTATCTAAGATTACGAGGTCAATAATTGTCTCTATTTATTCACTCTTTGAGCCCCTTGGAAGATAAGTACTAAGAGGAGCTAAGGCATGCTGCAGGTGAGCCGTCAGTGGAGAAGCGGTTTATTCCCATGCCCACCATACCAAGCGCATGAAGGCTGCTCTTTCCCCACACCCCATGGCAAACACAGCTACTCTGCATCCCCAACCTCAACAACGCCCTCCTCAGAGCCAGAGTTTGGGATGGGTGTGGGTGTTTTTTGGATGCTCTCTCTAGGCCCATTTTCTACTTCCTGACTTTGGGCTGCCCTTGACATTGAGACCATGTGTGATCCTGGGCCTGGAAGATCTAGGCTTCTCCCACCCCTTCCTGTCCCACTCTGCACGTCTGACACGGCCAGCATGCAGGAGGGTAACTGAAGGCACAATGCGGTAATCTGGGCCCAACGTGGCAGAGATCTCACTCGTTGGCTGAACAGGGATGACCTTGGTAGCCAAGAGGATAACTGTGCAAAGGGCTTCCCATGGCCTATGCCTGCTTTAGGCTCATGGATATCTTCATCTTCCCCACCTTAACACAATTCCGCTCACAGTAGGTGCTAAATAGAAGTCTTACTTGAAGATCTCCTCATCGGCAACTGAATTCAGCCTCCTCTCTGACACTTAAGTAGGCTTTGGAATCAAAAAAAGGCTGCCTGCAGGTACACTGAAGAACCTGATATCCACCATACTGCTTCCTGAGATCCACATGCTGAGAGTCTTTTCTTCTATTTGGATGAAAAAAGATAGGAATCCCGTACACAGAAATGGGGAGAATGATCAGTTGCCTGTGGGGGCCAAAACCCTGGATTGAGGGCTCTCGCAGCTCTGCTAAGACTAGAACAAGGATGACAAAAGCAGTTCTCACTAGTCTTCTGTTACTGTTTAGAGATTTAATTTAGAAATGGACTGAAAGGCCTCAGGAGGGGCCAGGCAGCAGCATCTATCTAGCACAGAGAGAGATGCACCACCTGTCCCAACACAGCATCCTGAGAGACTTCTCAGATGACACGTGGCAGGGCTACACTGGAAGCAGAGTCTATAAAGAAGCCCTCCTGCGGTCCCTCACACATGCAGGAAGTGTGACATTTGTAAAGGCACAAGTAGAGGCCTTTGCCAGTGAGACTGCATCACAGCAGGCCTCAGCCATCAAGCTATTACTACAAATGTCATGCAGAACATGTGATGGAGACCACGAGAAAATGTTCAATCCAGAAAATTCCCCCATCATGTTACACACACCAACCCTTGCTCAGTAGTGAGGGATGTTACATCAGCGCTCTGCTTGCAGACTCAGGGATGAAGGAGAGACGCACTGCTCAGAATCCATGAGACCAGAGTCCAGGAATAACAGGCGATCCCAAGGCCAATGGTCTCCATGGGTCCTACTGGCCACGGTGGGCTCCTATTCAGAGGTTCCAGGGCAACAGACCTTGATCCTGTGGCACTTGTTAGCCTCTCCATGAGGAAAGCAGAAGTTGGCTCTGGCTGTGATTGATCTCTAACTGGCAAAGAAATTGCCACATTTTTTTTCCTATGGAAGGCCTTTAGTCAAGGCTATAGGAGCCCCGCAAGCCCCCTCAAGATTACAATAATCGCTCAAACGATGCTGCCAGAGCTCAGAGGTAAATGTGCCATTTGGCTCCACTAAGGTCAGTGTCCACTTGGCAGAGCCAGAAAACAGTGGAAAGGAAGTGTGTAAGGTCCCTGGGAATCAGTGTTCAAAGCACTCCAGCCACCGGGACAGCCAGACTACAGGAAGCCGCTGACACATATCCCAAGGCATTCTCCTAGGAATGGGGGTGCTTATAAAGGGAGCCAGAGCCACTCCAGTTGGACTGGCTACCGACCGCACCAATGCTGCAGAGGGATAGAAATACACCTTTGCTCTGAGAGAACAGAAAGGAGCACAGGGTTTGTCAGCACATCTGGGCCCCTCAAGCAAGTCACATGCGCCTGGAAGCCCACTTTGAAGGTGCTGGGGCTTAAAGCACAAAGGCCCAGGAATTAAAACTCCCCCATAGAAAGGCTACAAAAAGCTGTTTTAAGGTAATGGAAAATAAGATCGATCAGCTGGAGGAGAAAAATCACAATGTCCTTAATTACAAGTCAAGCATGAAACTAGTTAGGGGCCAAAGAAAAAAGGGAGATTGTTGGCAACATTCATCAAGCCATATGATCGGGCCCCAATCCCTGGGTTCCCAGCTTCAGTTTCCACCAAATCCTCTCTCACTGTTGCCCATCCCCCACTCCTCCCTCCATGAATTTGCCGAAATCCTACATATCCTTCCAGGTCCCACTTGGTGTAACCTCCTTCAGGGAGCCTTCTCCACTTCCTGCTGAGACAACAAACGCTTTCTCTGCATTTGCACGCTCCTCTGCATCTTAGCGCTGCACTTAGCCCCCTCTGCCTAGTGTTTAAAGATAGTGGTGGATACGGCTGTCTTCCCCATTCATACACTGTTTTATATACAGACTCAGACATTTATCAGTCAAGAGTGAAGACTGCCAGAAACGTGCTCAAATGCTTAAAAAAGCACCAATGAATCAAAGCTGCCTTAGACTAAAGAACCACACAGGAAACTTAGTTGGGCAGCTGTGGGGTAGTGGAATGAGCAACAAATTCCTGCTCTGCCTCCAGCTGGTTGTACAACAGAGGGCAAGCCACAGAACATCTCTGGATCTCCCTTTCCTCTTCCAGCAAACAGTAAGCCTTACCTTCCCTGTAAGGTTGCTGCTAGGAGTGATAGCATCTTATAGGTACTCAATTAAAGGCTCATGAAATTTAACTGAATTTTAGCCTGAGTTAGCTAAGTAAAAAGCCAAAGACCCTCAAAGGAACACTATTTTACAGAGGCAGCCCAGTATCATGCTTAGAATGCAGGTTCTGGAGTCAGATGGCCTGAACTTGGAATTCTAGCACCACCTGCTTGGGAAATTTCTCTGGGCCTCGGTTTCCTCATCTGCAAAATGGGGTGGTAATAATAGGGTAGTTGTCAGAATAAGATGGGGTAACACATGTCTGATGTCTGATACTTGGGATGATCTCAATACATATTATAGTTTAGAATCAGATTTTGTATGGTAGGACTTAAAAAAAACACAGAGCAAAACAGTTAGTATGAAGTTTCATTGGAGCAAAACAGTTAGTATGAAGAATAAAATCACTGTTAAAAGTCACCAGACCTTGAACTTCCAGACCTCTAAGCCACAGGGTGAGCAAACAGTAGATGAGGGCTTCTCAAAGTGTGAATGCTACCTGCAACTTCCTTGACAGTTACAGATGACTGGACCCCATCTCAGATACAGGAAATCAGATTCTCTGGGGTGTGTAGTCGAGTAGGATGCATTTTAAATAAGCTCCTCAAGGGATCTGATAACTCCTAAACTTGGCCAATCTTTGTCCTGTTATGACCACTATTAAAGTGGAGACACCCACTGACACATCCCAGTATTAATCTGGTAAGGCGGAAGTTCTTGCTAGTGAGAAGATTCTGTTAGCTAAGTACCTGTAGGGGTACTGAGGGTGCACCTGGCACATGGTTCCGTTTGGCCCTCTGAGGCACCTCTACTTGTGAGCTCTTTGGACATATGAGTTGGAGCCTCATGAGCTCAGTGGTGTGCTGTTGACAGCCAATTGTGCATGCCTCTTTCCAACTTCATAGAGACTTCACATTGGTAGTTTGAAATTGGCACAGTGGGAGTAGTTACACCTTGAAAATTGGCAAACACTACAAATCAAGGCGTTTATATTTCTTCAGAGAGGCAGTATATTGGCACACTTCTGGTTCTCATCCATAATAAAGTTCTGTGTGGGAACCCAAACTCTGGAATGTGGCCCATGGCATTATATTTAGGTCTGGGGAAGGTTTGGGGCCACTTAAAGCCTGGTGTCTGAAAACCCTCCTAAGATGCTAGTGATGTTCTAGCATTTTAATTCGCATAGCTTGGCTCAAGAGAAACCCTCCCTCGTGCTCTGTGGTCATACCCTAAACCCCAGTACCAGGCCAACCATCTAGCAAATTGCAGTCTTGATACCCAAGTGGAATGAGTCAAGGCATGGGCGCTTCAGGGCCAATCCTTCACCACCACTAGAAAAGCAACCCTGTTCTCCAGAGGACTGCCCAGCGGCCTCTGTACCTCAGGAAACAGATCTATAACATGTGGATGGGGCAGAGGTTCTACAATCAATCTCTCATCTCCAGGTTCAGAGGTAAGCATCTAGCTAAGCATCAGCCCCCACTCCCCAGCCTGCTGTTCAGATACCCCCAGCTGCCTTTTAAAAGGTCACCTATAAGAAGCCGTAAGCCCTGCAGTTGGCCCTGTTTCAGCAGATTCCACTGGGGAAACATAGACCTTTCCTTTGAATTCCTCCACTCAGCAGTCAGGTGAGTCAGGGAAAATTAAATCCAATTTCCCAGTAAATCCTACTATGCTCTGGAAGGACACGGTTTGAAAAAATCTATTTTTGTGCTTTTATTTACTTAAGGTCTGCATGCCCGAGGAAGCTTTTTCATAGCGCCATCAAACTGCCTCTTGCTTACCAGGAAAAAGATCCCACCTTTCTGTAACACCACCAGCCTAGCCACAGAGTCCAGAGGAACTGAAGCTCCAGGCCCTTAATGCCCAGCGGCAGAAGGCTCCCTGCACAGCAGCCTGGGGCTTTCCCCTTCCTGGGCTGTCCAGGGATCACAAGGTTTTGTTTTCCTTGTTTAAATGCAGTTTCTGATTCAGAGGCATGACCTGTCTGTGAGGTTTGTGCCTGTGATTCTAGCAGCCCACAGTGTAAACTGCTGGGGTCAGGGCTGGCTATTTCTGGATGGTTCCATCTTTCTAGAAGGGCCAAATGCCCAGATGAGAAGACAAAACTCCTTCAATCTACTCAGGAGCTGGAGTTGTCTGTATTGGTGAACTTAGACTTACTTTGTCCCATGTCTCCTTTTTTTTTTTTTTTTTTTTTTTTTGAGATGGAGTTTCACTCTTTTTGCCCAGACTGGAGTGCAATGGCGTGATCTCGGCTCACCACAACCTCCGCCTCTTGGGTTCAAACGTTTCTCCTGCCTCAGCCTCCCCAGTAGCTGGGATTATAGGCATGCACCACCAGTCCAGGCAAATTTTGAATTTTTTAGTAGAGAGGGGGTTTTTCCATGTTGGTCTGGCTGGTCTTGAACTCCAGACCTCAGGTGATCCGCCTGCCTTGGCCTCCCAAAGGGCTGGGATTATGGGTGTGAATCACCACGCCCGGCCTTCCCACATCTATTTTCTACCTCTGTGTCAAATCCATCAGCCAGCCAACTTCAACTTACACTCTTAACAGGACTCGGTACAACACATGGGCTTCACTCTCCACCTGCCTGGCAGTGGTGGGTTGAAGAGTGGCCCTTCTGTTGCTATGGGTGCCCAGGGAGGGCAGTGGGCAGAGAAAGAGGGCATCCATGGATCCATACCACAGGCTTCTGAAAGAAATGGCCAAGGGCCCTTCTTCTCTGCCCTAGCTCCTTCTCAGCTCCCCTGGGAATGTGGCCTGCTGGGACCCCGTGAGTCAGTGCTACCCTGCTGGCCCCACCCTGATGTCCAGGATCCTATCTGGTAAAGGGACGGCTCCAGCCCTGGCTGTTGAGAAGGCAGCAGGACTTCAGCAGTATCCTCGGTGCTCTGGGCCTTTATCAACAACTTTTCAAGGCACGAGACCTCCCTGGGGCCCTCAGAGCACCCTCCACCTCTGCTGGCGAGATAAGGCAGCAGGACAGGTTAGTGGGTTCATACCTAACTGGGCACTGGAATCTTTCAGGAGCTCGTAGGGGACAGATGCCTGGGTTCTACCCATCCTGACTGAACTGGAAATTCTGGATATGCATCCATTGCAAGCATCCGCATTTTGGAATCTGCACAACGCTTTCCAGGTAACTTTGATGTAGCTGTTCAGCCTGGCACTGGCCTAGACTCCCCTCAAGGATACCTTCCCATAGGAATAGTCTATGATTTCTTCTATTTCCACCCAGTTATGAACTGGGATAAAGAAGGGTCAGGGGTTAAGAAGCATGTGCTTGATTTGCGTCTCCAGTGATCAGAGATGGGACCATAATACTGTCCCCTCTCTGAGGCAGCTAAGTGGTCCAGGAAGGAATCATCCACAGGAAAGGGACCAAGAACTGTGTTCAATAGGGTTTGTGCCCCTGCCCCTCACCTGACTCTCAGCGGGCAGGACTTCTACCAGCTTTGGCCAGAGAGAGAAATGGCCATTCCTTAGCCAGGGTGCCTCTGTCTGGCCATGCTCCAGAGACTGGAAGCGGGGGCCCAGCATCCTTTCCTCGCCTTGGAGCAGTCTTGCTGGATGCCTGGTCAGGTCCCTCAGGCTGTCTTCCCAGAAAAGCCCTTCAAGACAGGTGACAGCCAAGCTGAGACCAAATCAAACCAGGAAAGCAAGCCCTAAACTCTGATATGAGAGAGAAAGGGTCTATCTGTCTTGCCTGATTAAGAAGGGACTTTTTGGCTGGGCATTGTTGCTCATGCCTGTAATCCCAGCACTTTGGGAGGCCGAGGCGGGTGGATCACAAGGTCGGGAGTTTGAGACCAGCCTGACCAATATGGTGAAACCCTGTCTTTACTAAAAATACAAAAATTAGCTGAGTGTGGTGGCTTGTGCCTGTAATCCCAGATACTCAGGAGGCTGAGGCAGGAGAACAGCTTGAACCCGGGAGGCAGAGGTTGCAGTGAGCCAAGATCGTGCCACTACACTCCAGCCTAGTTGACAGGGCAAGACTCCATCTCAAAAAAAAAGAAGGGACTCCTGAGCCTGGCTGTCCCAGACGTGTGTATAGGTGAAGAGCCAGCATAACCCACCCTGCCCCAAGATAAGGTTCAGAACATGGGCTGTGTCACAAGAAGGAAGCTCTTGTTGGAGATGAATGGAAACATCTTAGGGAAATTAGCCTCTCATTCCAACTAACAAGGAAGGGGAAGCGTTTCAGGGGTAGCTCTAGAAATCAATTGCATGCTTTCCTGACATTTCCACAAAAACTTGTCCTGTGTGTTAGGTGCTGGCCTGGGGCTAGTCTATAACAGAACCTGAAGCCAAGATTTATTGAAAAAATAATATTACTGAAAAAAACATCAATCACAGCAGCCGGCATTTATTGAGTATTTACTCCATGTTAGGTACTGTGCTAAGTGCTGTTATTGATTGTCTCATTTAATCCTCACAGCAGCCCCCCCGGGGTGACATCAGCTCCATTTTATAGATAAGGAAATAGAAGCTCAAAGAGGTGAAGCTATTGGCTCCCAGTCTTAGAGTTTGGGAACGGTGGAGCCAAAATTTGAACTCAAGTCTGCTGAATCTTAACTCTTAAGACATTGTGCCTTTTTAAAGAGGAGCGAAGCTGGGAGAAAGGGAGACAAGCAGGCAGAGAAGTGACAAGAACTCCGAGCTCAGTTATGAATAAACGCCCGTGGCGTAGCACTTACTAAATGTCCAAGAATCAATCAAGAACAGCTCTGTCTACAATGAGCATCCGCTAGGACGACAATACACACTTAAAACAATGAAACAGGCCGGACAGCAGAGCGAACTGATGTAATAAAGGGCTAACCTGAGCCAGACAGTTAGAGAATGGGATGGTATAAAGTGACATGATTAAACAGGCAGAAAGGGCAAAGCGTAATTGAGGAGGGAGCCATGAGCTCTGGCTAAGGTGCCAAGGGCTTTCTCCATAAGAGGCTTTCCTGGAGGCAGGCGAGAGCTTGCCAGGGGCCCTAGTGCTATGGGGTGGGAAGGAAAACGCCATCTGCTCCAGGGCTTGGTAAGTTGGGTATGCAGGAAGTTCAGGGGGCTGGCAGCTGGTGGCACCTGTGCCAACGGGGAACTTCGGTGATTCAGTGTGGGAAACAGGAGGCTGCTGGTCTCACCTACTGCCCTCATCCCCTCACTCATTCATTCATTCATCCAACACTTATTTATTGTCATTGACTATATGCCAGACACTGGGGTACTGAGAAATGAATGAGATGATTTATGCCCTCAAGGAGCTCATGGATCATTAAAGGAGATAGGCTGAGACTCACAAGCCCACAGTACACTTGGCAAGTGATAAACAGGACGCGTGCACGGCTCATGCTGCGGCATAGGGCAGGGAGAGCTTCACCAGGATGACCCCAGAGTCAGTTCCTGACAGATGAGCACAAGCTTCCAGTCAGTCGCGGGGAGGGAGAGGAGTAGCCCAGGTCGCTGGAACAGCAGGAGCAAACGCAGCGCAGTGTGGTGAGCAGTGCTGGCCTGGTGAGGGTGCCACAGGCGGGTGAGTATAGCAGGGAAAGAGGATGCTGGGGGGAAGGGCAGGTGATGAGGCCAGAGAGGTGTGAGGCAGGGTTTTACCATGTGCTCAAGAGTATGAGAGAGAGAATGCAGAGAGCAGTGATCAGGTGTTTGTTTTGGAAGCAATGCTGAACTTGCTGGACCAAGCCTGGAGGTGAGGGAGGTGCTGCAGGGTCTGGGGGAAGTGGCTGCAGGGACAGAGAGGACACAGGACCCAGGAGACATTTATTTGGAACTGACCACTGTGGGAAATGACTGAGGGCTTTCTGGTTTGGCTTACTGAGAAGAGGGGAAGACAGATGGGAAAGCAGGTTATATGGTGCTGGAGACTGAACTGGGTCCCCTCCGCCCCGTCAGGATTCATGTGTTCATGTGCTGAGGCCCTAGCACCCAGTGAGGCGGTATCAGGAGATGGGGCCTTTGGGGAATGATGAGGTTTACATGAGGACCTGAAAGTGGAGCTCCGTGGTGGGACCGGTGCCCCTGTAAGGAGAGGAAGAGACACCAGGGCTCTCTCTGCCCAGTGAGCGTCCGTCCACTTACCATGCTGGCACCCTGATCGTGGGTGTCAGCCTCCAAAACTGTGAGAAATAAATCTCTGTTGTTTAAGCCACGCAGGCTCTGGTACTTTCTTATGGCAGCCTGAGCAGACTGAGGACATATGGGGAAGAGAGCTTTGTTTTGCAGCCTACTGAGTGTGAGAAACTGATCTGCAGTCCAAGAGGCAAGCTGGGGCCAGGGAGACAGAGTGGGGACCTCATGAGCAGGCGGGAGCCGAGCTGGGGCTGTGCAGGACTCTCTCTGTGAAACAGGGTGAAGGCCAGGATTTGGGGAACACCAATAAATAACAAGAAGATGAGAGGAGGGAAGGGGCCAGTGAAGGAAGCTGAGCAGAACGCTCGCAGAGGTAGGACGTGAGTCGTGAGGAAGTGTCCGGGAAGACCCAGCAACAGAGTCAAAGGCACAGAGAAGCCACGGTGGAAGCACAAGGAGTGAAAGTTCCGGGGAAAGACAGGGTGTAGAAGTCAACGGGCCGTTGCTGTGGGGGATGTACAACCAAGAAAGGGTGACTTGTTTTCATTTTAAACAACAAATACGTGAACAGGCTTTTAGTCTGCCAGAAGCCAGCAGAGCCTTCTTTTCCTGTCTGTGATCTTCACCTGGCCTCCTAGGCCAGGGCACACCGCTGTCCAAGGGCCCAGCCAAGCCTTCTGTGCATGAATGGCCACCTGTTGCCCCAGGAGTTGGCACTGCCCAACTTCCCAGCATACCTGCCCTTCCGCTGCTCCACCACCATGTCAGCTACACTGGGTGCCGACCACATGCCACACACCCAGCTCCACCAACATCAGTGAGTGTCTCGAAGAACCTTAGAGGGAGGCTGGACCAGAGCAGCCTGAGGTGAAGAACCCAGGCTTCAGAGAAGTCCGGTCACCTGCCCGGCACCACACTGCTGCTAAGTGCTGTTTAGAATTTTAACACTGTGTGTCAAACTCCACTGTGCTTCCCTGCCTCAAAAGAGCCTTTCATTTCTTCCTTGGAAGAGCCACCCCACACTGACACAAACCCATTCAGGGCGAGAACAGGACGCACCTTCTGACGCGGCACTCCTGGGTAGACTGTTGTGGGAATGGCTCCCCAATTGTTTACCCCTTACTATTTTTACACCCTTGGGTGCTCCCTTCACACATTGATTCTGGGCTGTCACGTGACTTGCTTTGGCCAACAATCATCAGCAAATGTGACAGACACTTATAAAACACTTGTGCTTTGGGTCTGTGTGCCCTCTTACTCTCTTTGGAACCCTCATGTGGAAAGCCCAGGTTGGCCTGCAGTAGTATGGGCGGACCACAAGGAGCACAAGTGAGCTGTTCCTGCCAGACCTCTCCAGACCAAGCAGTCTCCCAACAGGCGAGGCAGCGCCCCTTTGAGCATCCAGCCGAGGCCCCAGGTAACCCACAGGATCATAGTAAGTGGTGTTTCCCATCTTAAGCCATCAAGCTTTGGGGTGGTTTGTCGCACAGCAAAAGCTAACTGATACAAGTCCTAAAAGAAGGCCCAAGCTAGCATCCCCTTCCAGTTCTGAAGCACTGGAGGAGAATTCTTGGATCTCTAGTGTCCACAGAGTCTTTCTGCAATGTCAGAACCACCCAAGAATACAACGCTGTATTGTTGGCCTGGAGGGTCACTTGTGCTCCTAAAGGGGGCGAGAAAAGGAAGAGGCCTTTACATACCTTCTCTCTGGGACACACATGGGCCTGCAGGCAGCCCTGATGGGTGCCAGGTTACTCAGGGACAAGGTGACAGTGGCATGCTGTTGCCATATTATCCCCAGCCGAGTGTTTATTCACTGATGCGAAAGGAAGGAGATCATTTCTCCAGTGAGCTCTACTGCAAAGGCTCCAAGGCAGCATTTCATCAAAGGGTGCTGGCGAGCACTGGGGAGATGGCAAGACCCAGCAACCTCCAGTTCCACTCAGCAAGGAGCTTGCTGCTTCCATTGCCAGAGAGGCAGAAAAATGAATGAGCACTCAGGAAAGCCAACCTGATCAGCGGCGCTTTGATAAGATGACAGAATTGCTCCCTCCTCCAGTCCAAACCCACTCTCTGTGGTGAACTATTATGGGAAGGAAGCATCAACTAATTAGAAGCATCTCTGGGACATGAGAAAAATCAGCACCTAAAATGCCTGAGCAGAGAGAATTCCTTGTTAAGAAGAGAGAAAACAAAACAAGAAACTGCTAGGATGTCACTTTGCCCAGGCATATTTATAAAGGGAGGAGATAAGAATTAATTGGGACAGGAGCTTCTACCCAAGCGACATAAAAGACACACTTATTTTTGCTGCTTTTACAGACCAAGTGCCTCTTCCAGGTGGGAAGAGATCCCTGGCACCAACTGCCATTTTGAAAAAATGACTTTTAGTCTTTGCTAGTTCTAATGAAGCTCGAAATTAAGATGGTTCTTTTGTTTACTACCCCTGTTTGGGAAGCCCTAGCCACCCATCAATAACACCAATGTCTGGATTAGTTATTTCTCATTGCCCAACCTATGGGGCATAGAAGAGTTTTATGAAGCCAACATGTGGGGCGTTTCTCCCAAGAAAGCGTGGACGCACCTCCCCATAGCGCGGAGCCGTTTATACGATGGTCCTTTCATAATCTGGATTTTGACAGAAAGGACTGATGCCTGACTTGGAGCGGGGCAAGGAGCGCTAGAAGTCAGAGACTTTATTCCTGTTACCCACTTTCATTT